TGGTAATTCTAGCGGTACGAATGATGATATTGAAAGAAAAAAGGCAGTCTTTAGACATCTTAATAAGAGAGTAAAAGAAGTAGTTGAAAGAAAAAAGCAAGAAAGAACGGATAAGAATGATAGAAGAATATCGGATAATTTCCAGGCAAATATTAAAATGTTCTGGAAACTTGTAAGAACTGCCAGGGGACATTCAAAACAGCCTATGATGAATGCTATAAGAGACGAGAATGGCTATATTCTGAATGATGAAGTTTTGAGTTTAAAGAGATGGAAGGAATATTTTGAAAGCGTGTTTATGAGTGAGGAGACAACGTGTGTACTAAGTGAAGTAGAAATTCCGAAGGAAGAGGAAATAGGTAGCGAGATTAGTGTAGGTGAAATAATGAAAGCAATGAAAAGCATGAAAGCAGGTAAGGCTGCCGGATATGATAGAGTTTCACTCGAAATGCTAAGGGCTGGAGAGGAAGTGGTGGCAGGCCTGCTGCACACCTTGTTTAATTTATGCTGGGAACTGAAGCGGGTACCGGTAGACTGGTGCAAAGCCGTGATAGTCCCAGTATATAAGGGAAAAGGGTCGCAGCAGGACTGTAAAAACTACCGTGGCATCAGCCTTCTTAGCATTGTGGGAAAACTGTATGCTAAGGTACTGATTGAAAGGGTCATGAAAGAAACTGATGGAAAAATTTGGGATGTGCAAGCAGGATTTAGAAAGGGAATGGGATGTACAGATCAAGTCTTTTCCATGCGCATGATCGCGGAGAAGTTTTTGGCCAAAAACCAAAAGGTTTTTTGTGCGTTCATGGACTTGGAAAAGGCCTATGACAGAGTGAATAGGGATGTGCTATGGCAAACACTGAACTCATTTGGGTTGAGCGCTGGCTTGATACGGGCATTGGAGTCCCTTTATAGGGACTCTAGTGCTTGTGTTAGGATCAACGGGGTCTACTCGGACTGGTTTGACATCCATAAAGGTGTCAGACAGGGCTGTGTAGCTTCCCCGTGGCTGTTCAACCTATTTATGGACAGTTGTTTGCAAAATTTGAAAGTTGAAGAATGCGGATTAAGAATGGGTGAGTTAACCGTCAAATGCCTTTTGTACGCCGATGATCAAGTTATACTTGCGTCGTCGGCGGCCGAGTTGCAAATGATGGTTACATTAATGAACAGATCATTAAAAGAAAGGGGTATGAAAGTGAACGCAAGTAAGACGAAGGTTATGGTTTTTGAAAGAGAAGAAAGTAAAACGATTTGTGAAATAAGAATAGAAGGGGAGTTGATCGAGCAAGTAGACGAGTTTGTATATTTGGGCTGCGTATTTAGCAGGGATGGGAGATATGATAAGGATATAGAACGACGAGTGAATGCGGGAAATAGAGTAAATGGGGCCCTGCACTCTATTGTGAAGAGTCAAAATGTGTCGAAAAAGGCACGTATGGCAATTCACAATGCTGTGTTGGTCCCTACTTTAACATATGGTAGTGAAAGTTGGGTGTGGCAGAAGAAGCACGAGAGTAGAATGAACGCAGTAGAAATGCGGTCGTTAAGGAGTATGTTAGGGCTGAATCTTAATGACAGGGGTAAGAAATTGTGTAATAAGAGAAGAGTGTGGTTTGCAAGATGATGTTGTGACCAGGATTAAGAAAGGAATGCTTTGGTGGTTTGGTCATGTGGAAAGAATGAATGAGGAAAGAGTGACAAAGAAAATTTATGTTGCAGAAGTGAATGGCAGAGTCGGAAAGGGACGTCCTAGGCGAAAATTTATCGACCAAATTGGCGATTTATTGAAAACGGGCCAAATTAGGAGTACCCTTAACCGACGAGCATGTATGCGGAGGTGTATGGATGTGAAGGAGGCGAGAGAGGTGTGTCAGGATCGTGCCAAATGGAAGTCTGTAGTCTCTGCCTACCCCTCTGGGTGACAGGCGTGAGTGTTTTATATGTATAAAGAAATGTTGATTGATTGTTTTGTATTGTATTGTATTGTATTGTAACTTCTATTTGCACTTTATTTGAAATAAATTCATAACGTCATTGATTGAGTGCCCATAATAATTTTTCGACACCCCATGATGAATATTTGATGAATAATTTTCAATGTTCATTTTGGTATGCAGCTAGTACTCGTTATAAAAGTTTTTGCAACTAATACAATAAATTACATTATTAATTATCGTGTATTTCCGATGCTTTTATTGCACTAGGTGATTCTGGACATTGCCCTTTTTGCTCCGTGGCCTTCTCAGCAATGAGAGGTCTTTTTCTTTTTTGTAAACGTTTCGTCCGCAATAGGTTTTTTTCCTGTATCGTGGGGAAGTTTACAAGCATTTAATTGCACAAATATCTAGACCCGGAACAATTATTTGTAGATCGTACAATTATTTGTTCCGTGCGGGATTCAAACCCGCAGTCCCCAGTGGTTGGTGACTGCGACACCTATCTGATCATAGCTATAAGCCGTCACAGCTAGGATTCATCATCTCAATGGGCACAGCTTTTGTTCGCCCCGATGTTCCAAAACATGTTGGCAGATGCTCTCGAAATATTTTAAATTTAACATGCACGTTCCGTCACGATGTTTTCCTTCACAGCTGTCACGTGGTAAATCCGCACTCAAAATTGCAATAAACAATTTCATTGGTGGCTGGTCAAACCCGGGTTGCTCGCGTACTTTGAAATATCAGGAAGCGATTAGTTTTTGAGTTGCCTTGGCTTTGTGACCCTACTACAGCGATTTTATCAAGATTTTATAAAAAACTAGCTGGTACCCGGCGCGATGCAATCGCAGAAGAAATAATTGTGAAAATATCGTTATAAATTTGTACGACTTATATTGTTTAATTAGGAATGATAAATACTCAATTGAAGTTGAATATAACATTCAAATAAATTTGTCGGTACAATACGCGCGCCACAGTAGTGTAATTTAATTCTACTAGCCTTGTAATCTTTGCGCAAGTGCAAGCAATAAGTTGACAAAGTTTTACCGCAATCTGATGAACGGAATAGCATCACATAAAGTACGAACAGAAAAAAACATTAATTTTTATATATTCGATATGTCATATTGGAATGTAATCAATATCCTTCATTAGATACTATACACAATATATTTACATATATATAAACACTCACACCTGTCACCCAGAGGGGTAGGCAGAGACTATCTATATACTTCCATACGATCCTGTCACACATGCTTGTCAGTTAAGGATACTCTTAATTTGGCCCATTCTTAATATATCGCCAATTTGTTTGATAAACTTACGCCTAGGACGTCCCTTTCAAACTCTGACGTTCACTTCTGTAACATAAATTTGCTTTGTCACTCTTTCTACATTTATTCATTCTACATGACCAAAGTATTCCCTTCTTAATCCTCATCACAACATCATTATGCATACCACACTCTCTTATCACACTATTTCTCACCCTGTCACTCAGATTCAGCCCGTCAGGTGTACATTCATACACCTTAAGGACTGCATTTCTATTGCGTTTATTTTACTCTCTCTACGTTAAAGTAGGGACTAACAGAGCACTGTGAATTTCTAAACGTGCCTTTTTGACGCATTCTGACTTTCCACAATCGAGTGTAGAGCCGCATTTACTCTTTTTCTTGCGTTCACTCATTGTTCTATATCCTTATCATATCTTCCATTCCTGCTGCCATATGTATTACATATAATTAATAATAATAATTACAATATAGTTAATAATAATAAAATTATTATTTTCTGGTCCCCAGTTCTTGACAGTTTATGAAACTATGCGCTTGTTTGTAAACTTCTAATAACCGCCATTTTGTTTCGACAGACGAGGGGATAGTGAAAGCCAATTTCAGATAAGTATAAACTATAAAATGATTTTCACACAATAGCTTCCCAAGTAGTAAGTGAAATTCCTTTTAGTTCATGGAAGTTAAATTTTTAGACCCTATTTAGTGATCTAAATAGTTAAAAGTTAACCCCAAATTTTCTACCCATCAGGCGTGTTAATTTTCTTTTAATTTATATGGCACGTCACAGGAGAAAATCCCAGCGTCAACTCAAAAAAAGAAAAAATAGTTATGTACAAATTCTATATTTATGAAACAAAATGACAGTATGGGAGAAGAATCCGATAGGTCACCAATGATAGGCGCTGTGGCCGAGTCATAATCATCATCATAATTTCAAAATCTACTGATAAATATAGACCCAACCCCAGATTGCTAAATAGGGATGTTCAAAGTTTCCACGCTTAGCAACCACAGATTTTTACTATTTTAAACGGTTTTCAGGAAGATTTTCTGCCCATCTCCTATTTCTGTTCCCCTCTGTCGCGTCTTAAGACACCTATGGTATGAAATGAAGTAATAATTTTTATATAAAAGCCATAAGAGTCATAAGTGAATTCGAAGCAAAGCACATCGCTCCTTCTTTTTTTACAGAATATAGGTAACAAATGAGCACACAGTCCACCTGATGGTAAGTGGATGCTGTGGCTCGTAGACATCTACGTTTAACTATTAAGAATCAAGCAGATGCGTTGTCACCCCGAAAGACTAAAACGAAATGCCTCGATTCCAGTAAAACAGGTCTCCGGTTGTCTACACTCAGCATATGAAACACAGCAGCATTAAACTGCTATTTTACGCTGGTATTCTGTGAGAGCGTGGTCCTTCCCTGGTCGAGCCCACCCATTCGTGCTACAACCATAATATAGCTACAACGTGGCTCTACCAAGCATAAAATTTACTAGAAAGGGTACATGGTCAGCTAATTATCATCGTTATCTTCATTACAACCGCACGCAAGTCAGCTAGTTATAATGTTTTATGATTCAAAATTCTTACGTCAACCACGGTCTCAAGTGATTGGAAGTACACACCGATTACCATCACTTATAAATTATACAATTATAAAAGCCCCACATGCATACGCACGTAGTTCACTAGTAAGATAACTGAGAGCTATATAAATTTAAAGAAAAAATTAAGTTCATAAAGGGAAAGCATCATGAAGTCTACCCTATTAGCGATGGTGACTTTCATTTGCGTAAAATCGGGCGCTGCCGATGAAACAATAACTGAGGGCACCGAACTCGTATTAACCTTCTTGGTAAGTTAATTCAATCAATATTACTCTATAATGCTATTGCAAAATAGACCTGTTTATTCAGAGAAAGTTGTACCCACTACAAAACTATTCACGGATTTTATCGCGTTTAATTTAAATAACTTGATAAAATAAGTAAAATTAATTTAATTTAATGTGTTGTGCTCGCGTAAATTTAAGAATTATTTATAGGTACAACTTCCTTGTTTGACATTTATTGCTATATCATAATAATATAATCATAAATACTCACGCCCGTCACCCAGAGGGGTAGGCAGAGACTATAGACTTCCATTTGGCACGATCCTGACACGCTATCGGGGACGGTAAAGATGGGTGGGCCGAAAATATGATGTGATGACCATTGTAGTACCCCGCCTCACGTGTGTCCCGTGAGCAAGCAAGAAAATGCAAAGAGATGCAACATCTCTTCGTAGCGCCAGTGAATCGAACTGATCGGAAAGCACTCGGTCGTCGACAATTCGAGCCGCTCTACGCTGGATGCGGTCAAGTGGAAGGAGCTGGCACTGGGGATGGGGATCCCAGAGAGAGCCCAGAGATGGGAACAGTATTCCAGTGGCTGAACCTGTACCTTTTAAAGTTGCAGAGGGTGTGCAAGCATGAAATACTGTCCCGTTCTGTTGAACACGCCAAGCTTTTTAGCGGCCAATTTGACCTTCTCTTCCAAGCGACCACGGAACTGCACGTCACTCGATATGTCGTCGCCGAGGATTCTGATACAGGCTAAAATAACAAGGTGTCTCACCTTGTGTGCCTTGTGCTTTTAAACTAAAGAGATACGACAAAGGGGTTCTTTTTAGCGGTTGACGCGCAAACTTATGTCTTCTGAGGTTTAAATTGGACTAGATTTAGTCGCCCCCAATCCAAGACTTTATTCAGCAAAGACTCGACTTCAGACACAAGGTTGTCCCGGTACTCGGAGACGTTTTCCCGAGAAATATTGGCACGACCGGTGTACAGAGCATCACCAGTGCTGTCATCTACATAGCAATCAATGTTGTCGGTTTGCAACATATCATTGATATGCAGAAGAAACAGCGATGATGATAGCACGCAGCCTTGTGGAACACCGGCTTTAATAGGATTGTAATCGGAGCTTGCACCGTCTATGATGACCTTGATGCTCCGATCTGCAAGAAAGCTGATAATCAAATTGCACATTTTCTCGGGAAGCCTATAGGAAGGGAGCTTCGAAAGAAGCGCTTTGTGCCAAACCCGATCGAAGACCTTCACAATGCCCAAACTAACAGCCAAAAATTTCTATAGATTTTTTTATAGAATACTGATACTATAAAAAAGTGTGACATACGAGCCCACAGTCCAACTGATGGTAAGTGGATGATGTGGCCCGTAGACATCTACTTTTATCCTCAATTACAAATCAAAACGTTTTCAGTGCTGACAACTGAAATGGAATGTCTTGTTTTCAGTAAAAAGAGTGTTTTTTTTTGACAACTCTTAAAAAGTATTTCAGTTGACTAAAGTATCAAAATACCCAATTGATTTTGTGTAATTATAGATTTCTTTAATCGGTATTTTGTAGATCCATAGGCATGGAGACAGGACCCCACTTAAATCCACGATGGAATTAAGTGACGATCAAGACGCTTTAGAAGAACTTACACGCCCTTATGGATATGGACAACTAACAAATGTAAGAATTATGCAATATTAAATTTATACTACGAACGCTTGCACTAAAACTCTTCTTACTATCTGCTGCACTAGTGTATAACGAGTAAAGCAGTGAAGAACAATATGGTGGGGAAACCTGCATCTCATCAGGTGAAAGTGGACTTAACTTTTGATTTTTCGTGGTAGAGCCATTTATCATTCATTTATTAAAGCTCCAAGTCCTCTGCTGAAAATAGGCCTCCCCCAAGGAATGCTACAAAACAAGGTCCTGAGAGGCCTACCCTATACTTCTCCTACCGGTACGAGGCTGCCACTCGAGAACCTTTCTTACCCATCGGTCATCGGTTCTTCATCTATATAGCCCGTCCATTGCCTCTTCAGCTTACAAATCTATTGGGCTGTGTTGGTTACTCTAGTTCTAATGCGGATATCCTCATTTTAAATTATACCAAGCAAAGAAACGCTGAGCATAGCACTCTCCATAGCTTGCTGAGCCACCATGGAGTTCCTCATACGGCCAGCGGTGAAGAACCACGTTTTAAATCTACAGGTCATAACTGTTAACATACACACACACACAAACACACGTTGTTAAACTTTGGTAAAACAAGATTTTACAACATGTGGACGTTGTAAAATCTTGTTTTTAAGTTTTGAGGTATACCTGACGAAGACATTTGTCGTAATCTCCCGAACGCTGCCCAGCCGAGTTGAATTCATCGACTGACCTCTTGGACGAAGTTGTACTTACTTAGTCGGACTATTTGTCCTAGTTAAACATACTCGTCGACAAATTCAAGTATGGTACTCCCAACAACTAGCGGCATAAGTGTGACATGGACGTTACACATGACCATTGTTTTGTCCATGTCCATCTTAAGACCTTAAGGACGATATCATGAGTGTCACTAACTCGATCACGCTCAACGGAGTAGTGGTTTGAGGAGAAGCACTCAAAATAGAAAAAATCGGAAGCGACTTGCCTCGATACAATGTAGAGTTGCACTGAGGATATCCTGTGCCTATTGAGCGGTATCGGAGGTAGCCGTGGTGGTCATCTCAGGTACAATTCCAATTGACCTTTTGGGATTCGAGAGGAGATATACCTAAGATGCGCGGCGGGCTGGTGAGGAACTGTTGATGGACGTAAGGACTCGAGAACGCGAGACTTTTCTGGCAATAGCGCTAGGAATCCGAGGTGATCGGGCGTTGGACTCATAGGCTTATCGGACGAGTCCGTGCCTGGGCCTTACGGGAACATGGAGAGGTAGACTACTACCTCACACATTTCCTTACTGGACACGGACAGTTAAATGCCTACTTACATCGTATGACAATCCGGAACTTTTCTGACTGCGTGTACTGCCCGGACGTTGTCGACACCACTGAACACACCTTCTTTTTCTGTTAGCGCTGGCCTGAAACACGCCTATGCTGGCAGGGCAAAAAGAGAGTGCCTCAGAGGCTGGAAGAGGTCGTTCCTTGGATTTTGGCAGCAAATGACAACGGAGGAGTAGTCACGTTAAGAAGCGATGAGGATGAGTACCAGCACCATGAAATAGTGCTGACGCGATCCCGTGGTGCTGGGTACTTAAGAGAGAGGAAGTTTTAGTAGCTAAAAATCCCACACTACTGGTCTTACAAGTTAACTGGTGTCTTTTTCAAGATTCCTCCTCTCTCTCTCTCTCTCTCTCTCTCTCTTCAATAAATAAAAACGAGCTTAGCATTCATATCATCCATTGTATTATAATCTTATAGACCTGAAAACAGTTTTACAATTCGAGCTGCAAACTTTTAAACGATTGGGAATGTAGCGTTCAGTTCATAAGACGTGACCTCTCCAATTTACCATTAAGATTCAATATGCCTCTTAATATTTGGTGATCGCTAACAGTTTTCATCAATCAAGTCAAGTCAAGTCAAGCAATCACTGAGACATTGTTAAATATTTGCCTGGTCGTCAAAATGAAGCCAATCTTATATTTTGTCTAGCCGTCAGGGGCTCGACCAGGTCCACTTTCTGTAGGGCCGCTTCTTGAAAATAATTGCTTAACATTTTTTTTCTCTTCTGATGTCAGTTTCTAATTGAAATAATTAAATAATGTATTAATATAAGAAAATTTTAAAGATAATAAAGGTATAGTATAATATAGCATATAATAATTGTCATCATTTTGTCTAATTGTCATCTACTGTTAATTGGCACATGTCATGATAGGTATTCAAGTCTCCCATTAACACCGTGTAGTGGTTATACATTTCGTCCACCTCCTCATCGGGATGTGCCGAGGTTGGTGCGTAAACTTGTATAGCCTTTATCAAATACCGTTTGGTAACTCTGAATATAAGGTACGCAATTCACGTCGACACACTTAATTTTAACAACTTTTTTAATGAGATACTTATGGACTATTAATCCGAAACCTCCTTGTGACAGATGGTTGTCTCACCTCAGTCACCTTATAGTGGTGTACTCGACACCACCATCAGGCGACAGAAGGACACTGAAACAGGAGTTGGACTGTAGCACCTTCCTGACAACACTTTTATACGTGGTAACAGCTGCAGTTATATTAGTAGTATAGTTGTAGCACGAATGGGTCGGCTCGACCGGGGAAGGACCACACAGAATACCAGCGTAAAGTAGTAACTTAATACTGCTGTGTTTCGTATGGTGAGTGTAGAAAACCGGAGACCCTTTTTACTGGAAACGAGGCACTCCATCTTAGTCCTTACTGGTAACAACGTATCTGCATTTTGATTTGCAATCGAGGATACATGTAGATGTCTATGGGCTGCAGCAACCACTTACCATCAGGTGGACTGTGTGCTTTAACTACTGTAACAGACCCGCCTGACATAATAGATGGATGTAAGCATAGAACAGTAGTACCATGACCTTGAAATTGTAATTTGACTTTTAAATAATAAAATTACCGGTATTGACTATGAGTACAAGTAATCACACAATCAACTTTACGGCAAAATTTAACTTACAGTCTACCTGAATGTAAGTGACTGCTGCAATCGATGGACATCTGCAGCCAACTTCAGCCAAAAATGACTACAGATGCGTTATTATCTGTAAGGATATAGAATGCCTCAGGGCCTGTGTGTGCATTTGTCACCACATTTTACAAAAAAATGGCCCGAGAAGAAGTATAGTCTGTAAACATGCATTTAGGCAGCATCAAGGACTTACATCTGCTTCAAAAAAGTAGGATAATAATGTCGTTTTAAATATTTTTTCTTTATTTCTTTTAAAGGTAGGAAAACGCCGAAGTTTTGAGATGGGTAAATTTATCCGCCATCGATACAATGACCTCATATCACCGCATTACAACTCCTCCGAACTTTATTTACGGTCTACGGACTCTACTCGTGCTAAAATGACGGCATTGATAGCTATGGCTGCTATGTACCCCGCAAAGGGTCAAGAATGGATGGAGGATATAAACTGGGTGCCTGTACCTTACACAACTTTACCAGCGAAATATGATTATGTAAGTTATTTTTTATTCGTTCCCCCTTACACTAGGTTTTTCTACTTTATCGTTAAGGTAGTTTACATACATAAATTGCACAAGGATAAACATCCAGACACAGAAAAATTATTTGTAAACCATACAAATATTTATTCCGTGCGGGATCCGAACTCGCAACCGACACTGCGCCGTGGAGCCGTCATGGAGAATCAATTATTCATCAATTAATTAATACAATGTTTATATTAATTGTATAGTATCGTAAAGACTGGGGGTTTATTTGTATGCTATTAAGACATGAATGATTATTTTTAAATTTTCGTCTGTCCCTGATAATCTTTGTAATGGCGGAACCGCTTGCGACAAAGCTTCACGGACAGGTAGAGAGCAATTTCAGAAGGGCAGGGAATATATCTAGGCTATGTTTTAGGTAACCACAACTGAAATGTTTTTGAAAATTTTAAAAACTTATAAATTGATTTTTTTTTATAAAATAACTGTTTTCTTAATGAATTAACGAATGATTTTTAGTGTTTTTTTTTTAATTTATTCTTATAAGGAGTGCACATTATTTACATTTTAAAATTTGCCAAACTGTAAGCCAGTTTGTCGGTAACTGATATATTATTCCAAAATATTCAATATCACAGCAAATATTGAATTCATTTTTTTATTTACCAGTATGATTAAGACTTAAACTACAGGAAATTAAAAAAAATCAAGCAAAATTCTTTGGTACTCAACTTAACGTAAATAATTTCTAATACTTCTGTCTCTTAAAGTTTTAACGCAAAAAAAAATGATAAAACAGACTTTTTTTACTTTTAAATTATTTAGCTACAAAACTATGAGTGTTGAAGGATAATAATCTTTTACGTGAAATTAATAGATTTTCCATTTTTATTTCAAATATGTTTCAATATGGCTCAGTTTTAGAGATATTACCAAAAAATAGTTAAATAGGTAGTTTTTCCGTGGCACCACCACTTGCCACAATTATAGAAGTGAAGATTTTTTTTATTAAAGAACTACGCGGACGAAATCGTTGGTAAAGGCTATTATAAAATTAGCTGGCCCTACAGATGTTGTTCTGTACTTCCAGGAGAATTCAATGACTTTCACTCTTCACACACTTTCTTACAGTGTAGATAAAAAAAATCTTGACCGCAGCTCCACTTATCGGGCTTAGATTGCGTGATTTCCTTTTGTGACTATAAACCAACATATTGTAGCTCATAATCCAGAAGGTTTTAGTTCCATTTCTGATTTTAGTTTTAGAACCGCCTTGAAACCGGTTTCTATCGGTAGTATTTTGAACGTTTTCAATCGCTGCTGCAAGAGCTAGCGCGCACTGGTGATTTTTGTTACCGTGACTGTCACTCATATCAAGTACATATATGGAGATGCGCGCATGCTACGACGTGACTACTGGGTGACATTTTTGTACGCCGACCGGCGAACAAGCCCGTGGCGAAACTGTCACCGCGCCGTTTGGTTTTCATAGCAGCGCGCGCACTTGAGACAAAATTGTCATTCTCCGTGTCGTTCATTCTCTATTTGCATTGCGACCAGACCTTGGCGCGTGCAAAATGGCGTCATCATCGACGCAAAACATGAATGTTCACGAAAACCATTTTTTTTTATATAGGATAAGGGTGACAAGCGAGCACACAGTCCACCTGATGGTATATGGTTGCTGTGACCCATAGACATCTACATCTATCCTCATATGCGATTCAAAATGTAGATGCTTTGTCAGCCGTGAGGACTAAGATGGAATGCCTCTTTTCCAGTAAAAGGGTCTCCGGCTCTCTACACTCACTATACAAAACACAGAAGCATTGTGCTGCTATTTTACGCTGGTATTCTGTGAGAGCCTGGTCCTTCCCCGATCCAGCCGACCCATTCGTTCTACAACTATATGATTAATATAGGTGCATCATGGCTCTACCAAATACAAAACGATACCAAGACTTTATGGATAAAAAGTTAAAAGAGTATTCGGATAGTAATTTGAAAAATAAATCATGAAGAAATAAGCAGATTAATATTTGTCAATGCTTGGGGTAACTTGTCGCCACAAGAAAAAAACTGAATATGGTTTCACATTTTTATTTCTAGGTATCTATATTACATACAATTATTTTATTAACTAGGTACTAACATAGCTAAAACAAAAGTTGCACATCGGAAATAATAGATGTTTAGTATTTTTGTCGTTACACTGAGGTCTGAGTTGCACTGTCGGACGTGTAGGTGGTTAGGTACAATTAAATTCACATTTTATTTAGCTTTTTTTCTCCTTAGTCTGATGATTTCACAAACAACGACCGTCTTTTCGAAGTCCATGTAGAAAAATGACGCTTCGATTAAAAAAAAATTTTGTCACTGTCACCCTTCGTGAGTGCACTCCGCTTTGGAAACGTGACATTACAATGACAAAAACTTTAATGTCACAGTGACAAAAGTCCCCAGTGCGCGCTAGATCTTAAGCTAGCCGCGCACTGGTGATTTAGGTCACCGTGACTATTTCGTCACTCATATCAAGGCCGTGCATATGTATGGAGATTCGCGCATGTTACGACGTAATAACTGGGTTACATTTTTGTTTTTGTTTTGGAAACGTGACGTGACAACGACAAAAATTTTAATGTCGCGGTGACAAAAATCAGCAGTACGCTCCAGCTCTTATACTTCAAATTTTGTCACATTTTCTCATCCTTTTTGTTATAAGCGTGATATGTAGAACGTTTGAGATAAGCGTTTTCCTTATTATATCCTCATTTACTATGTGTGTATGACTACCCGTTGGTCTAGCGGATTTAAACGTTTGCTGATTACGAGATCCCGGGTTCAAATCCCTAAAAACAGTCAAGAGTCAGGCTAAAAACTGTTGTTGGGGTTTTCAATAGAAAACGCCAATAACAGTTTTTAGTATAGTGGTTATTTCTTAATAAAGAAATAACCACTAGTAGGCTGGAGACAGGAAGTTGGCGGTGACTCACTCCCGTGCTTTGAAAAGCAAGCGACATCACTCTGGTATTAGAGGATTAATGTCCCATCGGACTATGAGAGTGAAGGAATGCAGAGTGCACCTGTGCTTGCGCATACACTTGGTGCTACTATAGTCCTACCCAGATGGCTAGCCTCCGTTGAAACCGGTCGCCGTGAAGGAATTTCGGTCTGGAGAACATTAATATTTATATTTAGAAAATAACAGTGTATACAACACGTAATCTGAAAATTTGTGCCGCAATCTCGTCGCTCACTACTACATCATAGCACACGATTTTTGTTTTAATACGTGTTTGCATACACATATAATATTGTTTTTCCTATTTTGGTTTGTTTTTTAATAAGTCACTATTTTTAATTGTAATTTGTTATGTGTGTGTGTGTGTGTGTGTGTGTGTGTGTGTGTGTGTATGTGTGTGTGTGTGTGTGTGTGTGTGTGTTAGTGTTGGAAAAAATTTCTTTTTTATGTCTTATGTCTTTATGTCTAATCGCCTTGTACATGCTAGAATGGTTCTCGAGCTTTTTATCAGTAATAACTCAAGTAACCCATATTATTAGATAAAGTTATTAATGAACATACATACATTATTTTATGATATTAAGCAGCAGTCGGCCTTATGTGGTTTACCGACGGGTCAATAAAGAATTATGACTTTAAAAAGAGTAAAAGCCGACTTCAAATTGTTAAAAAAGAAGTTATTATTTGCCACCCTTACAAATGGAATTTTTTCTCCAAATTATATATGGAATCAACTTTTAAGTATAAAACATTATATAAAAAAATCATTAAATTTGGTTCACAATCTGCAACGATATCGCCTCCTCCTCTTCGAAGTCCTCTGAAAATTGGTCTCGACGAAGGCAGTGGAATTTATGAGGAAGGCTACAAATTCAAACACGGTTTGAATATGGGAAAATTCGCCACTATACTCCCGTAAGAAATCTACGCTATTATAAGTAGTGTGGAATACTATGTACATAAACACTAATAGTCATCAGAGATCAAACTTATTGACCTTAAAGCTAGTCGGAGACTGCGTGAACTGTTTAAACGCCTTAGGGTGTAACAACAGGGTCGTTCCGGATCATGCGGGTATTGAGGGCAATAAACAGGCCGACAAACTCGTACGGAAGGAGTCGAAGGTCTGCCCAGACCTACTGTGGATGACGTGAGAACGAGACAGCTTTAAAACTTCACTATTTTACAAATCGTTAACATTTTGATCATTTTCGTTAAAGCATAAGCGATAATAATCGCCTGGTGAGAGAGAGAGATCATATCCATGAGTATTGAAACCGTTCCGCGAGCGAAGATAATCGCCCCATGGCGCAGAACTTCATTTAGCGAATTTCAAAAGTCTAACTTGACTAACCCTTGAAACTCTTTATCAGAAAAATAACAGGATACAGTCTGATACATCAGGCTTAAATCATTCCAAAACCTTAATCCGTGCATATGATCATAAATCCGCTTCAGAAGCCCGAGGATAAGTAAGAACAAACTGCGTACTTTGGCAAGAGCCCTGACATGGCTGTTTAAAAAAGTACTTATCCATCTAAACAACTCAAGGATGTATCGATTTTGTTCCTTACAAGAAGAAATACCTCTTCACATCCTAACTTATTATGGACCCTTAATGCGCAAACGTAACATTCAATCTGTGAAACTACGTACTTAGGCCAAAATAAGTAAAATTGCCTCAGCTAAGGAACTCCTTCTGTTCATTAAAGCTTAGCAGCATCTTATTAGTGATTATAACCATAGCAAAGATCGTAATAGATCATACTAGTCGCAGTCACATTTTTCTTATTAGACCTGCATAGCTGCTCGTAAAAAAAAACATCGAAATATAACACGATCAGATATTCACTAAATTACCGTTATTGTTTAAAGCCTGATAATTATTGAACGATTTTGCCTCTCTAGGATTTCTTTTTTTTTTACTTATTATAATTTTTTTTATTGCTTGAATCATCCTTACAGGTCTAACCCAATGCGATAG